CCCCCCCCACACACACACATGCACTCCCCCCATAGCCAGGGCTGATTGTGTGAAAATCATTTGCACATTTGCTTGCTTTTGCAGGATGCACTCACTTTAATCATTATCGGGATGGAGGCACATTTGGTCCTATCATGTGAAACCATTCCCACATTTGCGTGCAAGTGTTGGTCAATCTTGGATTCTGCATGGGATAACAACGCTTTGCATATGAAAACCATTTGTGCAATTGTGAGTTAATCATTCTTACCATTTTAAACTTCCATTTTTCCACCTTGTGATAAACTCTCAAGTCTAGTCAAAGAGGGAATAGAGGGGGCAGAAAGAACTTATCCATCCTCAAACTCTGCCCCTATATCAGAGGTAGGCAACCTTTCCCTTTAAGGGCCGAGGGACTTCAGCTCCCAGAATCCCAGGAGCTATTGGCCTACATGGGACTATTGGCTAACATGGCTGAGGCTTCTGGGAGCTGAAGTCCTTCGGCCCTTAAAAGGGAAAGGTTGCCTACCCCTGCCCTATATGCTCCATTATGGCACATGGAACCATGACACATTTATACTGGCATTTTTTCAAAGGGAGGTCAGCAAAGACATCTCTCTGCCTACAACCCTGTGCAGTGTGGAAGGTGATACAAATTCTATGCCACAGCCTCTGCTATTGTTTCATATGCTTCCTACAAAGAATTTTTTTATATTTGGTTATACCCAGGAACAATTCTCAAGGACAGCTAGTATGGCTCTTACTTGTAATGTCCACCTCTTTTGCCAAGGAACATCATGACCATTCAGCTACTTATCTAGTACCAGAACAAGTACACTGTATTATATTTGCAGTGAATGGCAAGTGAAAAAGAAACACAACATAGGCATTCAACTGGAAAGGCCAGTTTTACTGCAACCCTGAAATGAAAATGAAGTAAGCAACTACTATTGTGTGTGAATCCCACTGTGGGAGAAAGGCGAGATATAAATATTTGAATTAAATAAATAAATAAGTCTTAATCAAATTACATTTGCCAAATGCTATTCCTTACAAATATTGGTCAAGGATCAGTATAGCAATCTCTATATAACACAAGAAATTGTGTTGCTTTTAAAACATGATAAAGAGCACACTTCTTTACAGGCAATTACCTGAATTAAGTCTTCAAGTTCTGTGTCATTCACACAGGAATGCTGTGATACAAACAGCTGCTTCTGGATGACAATAGTTGTTCTCTGGTTAGTTTCATGTGGCTGCTCCAAGGCTTTGAACACAGTAGCTCCAATAATTAGATACAAAACCACCACCAGAAAAATGGTTGAGACCGTCTTCCATTTCATAACATTAATTGTTGTATCACTCTCTTCCCGTGAAGCAAGCACAGTGGGTTTGGTAGAAAATGACAGCCTGGGTTTGGAGTTCTGAGTGGCAGATTTGGGATCCAGCAAGTCAGGTGCCGCCACTAATAAAAAGAGTGGGAAAGACAGGAATGTTAATTTTTATTTTTATGAGGTTTGTCAGAAATTTATTCAGTTCTTTCTAGAGGGTTAAAGAGAACCTAATAATTAATGTGACAATTTAACTTTAGTGATACTCTACAAAGGGATTCATCTTGTCCATCTTCACAAGAATGTACTTTGGAACAAGGGATTCCAGCAACCTGTTTTAACAACACAGCTCAGTTCATTTTTTCTTGTCTTTGGTTGACCAGTTATAATATCTATAGTCCAGACATTCAGAAATACGTACATTGCTAAATCAAAGAACACAGCACTAATCACATAATATTAATCATTATAATATCTGAGAATTACGTATTTTCTCAAATCAAGCCTTTCTGATTCATTTTGTTGTAAATGAGATTTGATGCAAATAAGTTTATTCTTAGCTTAACACTAAATAGTTAATACAAATAATCACTTCTCAAACCTTACACGTGCACACCCACATACAATATGTTGGACTCAGAGAAATGCATTATTAAATTATTTGCATCAGCCTTTCCTCTCACGTATAATTTTCAACAGCAGTTCATTGTAAACAGCATCACTTGGAATGTGTTTCCAAATATAATCCTTTATAGGGGGGGTTGCAGACTGCCAGAAATAGTGCAAATTGAGTCCACTTTTAGGGTTAGGGCTAGGGCTAGGGAATCATGGGAACTGTATTTTATTGTGGCACCAGAGCTCTCTGACAGAGAAGACTCAATGTCTTAGAAAAAAAAACAGTTCCCATGATTCCCTAGCACTAACCCTAACCCTTAAAGTGGACTCAATTTGCACTATTTCTGGCAGTCTGCAACGCCCCATAGAAATGGTTTGTCTTCAAGTTGTTTCTGACTTAAGGCGACCCTAAAGCAAACTTATCATGGGGTTTTCTTGGCAAGATTGTTCAAAGGGGGTTTGCCATTGCCTTCCTCTGATGCTTCCTCTGGAGAATGTGGGATTTGCCCAAGGTCACCTAGTGGTTTTCCATGGCTGAGCAGCAGTTTGAACTCTGTTCTCCAGTTGTAGTCCCAAGTTCATACTGTTATACCACAGTGGAAATGTGCCAGTGGAAATGATAGTACTTAACCGGGGGGGGGGGGGGGGGGGGGGGAAGGAATCAAGCACCTGTCTGGGGATTACATGAGAAAATATTTCATGGTAAGAGCCCAGAATTTCCTTAGCTCAATATCATGTAAATTAGATTGTAATCATAACTCCTTCATAATGATTATCAATCAGATGTCACATCAACATGGTGAAGATCACAGTTGAATGCAGTTAGCACTGTTGAATGCCAGTACTTAAAAATATATCATTAGATTACTTTGAGTGATCAAAAATTCCTTTCATGGGTGTTAGGGAAAAATCCACAGCTGAAGACATAGAATCATAGAGTTGGAAGAGACCCCAAGGGCTATCCAGGAACTCACAATCTAAGCACCCCCAACATATGGCCATCTAGCTTCTGGACTCCATCCTTAAAGACCTCCAAAGAAGGAGACTCCACCACTCTCAAGGCAGTGTGTTCCACTGTCGAACAGCTATTACTGTTAGAAAGTTCCTCCTAATGTTGAAGTGGAATCTCTTTTCCTGTAGCTTGCATCAATGGTTCCCTGTCCTATTCTATGGATCAGCAGAAAACAAGCTTGTTCTATCCTCAATATGACACCCCTTCAAACACTTAAACAGGGCTATCATACAAATCACTCACACATACAAATCACTTTCTACAGCTCTTCTCCCTTTCACCCTCAACCAGCCTGAAATGTGGGCATGTCTTAAAGGGAGCAGAAGGTGGTTGAACACAGTAGTCACCCATATCATTATCCCCATGTGCAATATGTTCTTCAGGAACATGAACTACAGCAACACTTTATTTGTTGCTGTTGTGTGCCTTCAGGTCATTTCCAACTTATGGTGACCCTATGGCAAACCTATCACATGGTTTTCCTGGCAGGATTTGTTGTGGGAGGTTGCCAGTGGGGTCCTCTGAGGCTGAGAGCGTGTGACTTGCCTAAAGTCACCCAGTTGGTTTGCATGGCAGAGCGGGGATTCGAAGCCTAGTCTCCAGAGTCACAGTCCAAAACTGAAACCACTATGCCACACTAGCACTACAACAACAGTGCACTACAGCATCTCTAAGCACAAAATGAGGCAGACAGGCACTGAAGATAGACTAGAGCTCCTGTTCCCCACCCAAAAGAGACAGCAGCTAGAGATGAGGAAACTCTGATAGTCCACAATTCATGACTCACTGCAGAGTGTTGTCAGGTCATTACTCTTTTCCAGCTCCTAGAAAGTAAGGACTTGTGGCAACTCCTAACTCCTTTTACTGTGGTGAACTCTGTAACAACTTCCACCACCAAAGAACCACCACCATAGAATCTCATGTTTCTCTGTGCCCAAGGATTCAGTCTTACAACCACCTCCTTCTGCCCACAGATGATGTGATGGAACTAATCCTATTGACTTCAGGGTGACTATTCCAGAGTCAGCGATTTGACAACTGTAATTGAACGTTGCTGCCTGAAGGCTTTGGTGTTAAGTTCTTGACTGATTATGTTTAGCAGGACAGTTTATACACCAGCTGAGCAGCAGCAGCAGCACTTGAAGCCCGCTGCATTTCTGTGGGGGATCAAAGTGATCAGAATATTAAGCGACTGACAGATAAGGGCGAGGAAATGTGTGATGGGCAGAGAAAAGGGGCAGGAACATAGAACAATCCCCATTTGATGTCATCATCACTTAATGCCACCACTCACTCTTTGATCTCTCTTCCCCCTTAGCATGTTGTCACCCTACTCCAGCTCTTTCTCTGGCTTCAAAATGGTGGCAATCCAGGTTTATTGCAAGAGACCTGGTAGCTATACACCTGGACATCCTGTTCTCTTAAATAATAATAACAGCAAGAATAATGCATCATTAATGATGCTGATAATAAAAATAATAGAAGAGGAAGAGTGCCCACCACCTGTCAGGCAGTCCAGGCTTATTGCAATGCACACCCACACACCCAAGGCAAACCTGTTACCTTGGGTTAAGCGCAAGTCTCCAAATTCCCCTTCATCCACTCTCCCTTTCAGGAAGCTCTCTGCTGCTGAGCTAACAAAGGGAGAAAGGGCTGGCAGAGTATAGCGCATCTCCTCCTTAGGCAGATCCTACACAGAATAGCATCCTTCGCTGCCCCTTCATGCACATCGCCCTCCTTAGCCATTATGAGCATCATCCATTTCGCTCCCCCTTGACACATGTACTACAATAAACAAGAAGCCTTCACCCTGAGAGGGGACCCCCCCCCCCCTTTTGAGGTTTGAAAAGCCTCACATGAGAGAAATCTTCACGCCTCTCTCTTCTCCTTCTTTTTTTTATCCAAAGAAGCAACCAGTTTCCCTACTCTCTCTCACGCACACACATATATCCATGATGCTCCTGAAATAATTGGCAACAACCAGCAGGGCAACACATTTGCTTAAGGATGCGGGCAATGGACCTTTCACAGACCTTTGGCATCTGTCTCCCCCGCCCCCTGCCATACACACACACACACACCACACACACACACATCCAGGGGATGCAATGTATATTTTCATACACCTTTGACTGCTGTTCCCTCCTCCCAATATACATGTACATATGCATCCAGGGGATGCAATACAGACCTTTTGTGGACCTTTGGGTGCTGTCTCCCCCCATATACATATATATCCAGGGGATGCAATATATTTTTTCATAGACTTTTGGCTGCTACTTCCCCTTGCCTCTCCCCATATACACATACATCCAGGGGATGCAATATACTGTGTATTTTCATGGTCCTTTGGCTGTTATTCCTCCCACCCACATACGCATATACATATACATACCCATATACATCCAGGGGATGTAATATATATTTTCATGGACTTTTGGCTGCTGTTTCCCTTGTATACACATACACATACACATCCAGAGGAAGATAGATAGATAGATAGATAGATAGATAGATAGATAGATAGATAGAGTGAGTGAGTCATGGACTGTTGTCTGCTGTTTCCCTTATATACGCATACATATACATACATATATACATCCAGAAGAAGCTATATATATATATTGTCACGGACCTTTGGCTGCTGTTTTCCTTATATACACATTCATATACATACACATACACATCCAGAAGAAGCTATATATTGTCATGGACCTTTGGCTGCTGTTTTCCTTATATACACATACATACACATCCAAAGGATGCTATATATATTGTCATGGACCTTTCATGGACCTTTGGCTGCTCTTTCCCGCCATACACACACACACACACACACACACACACACACACAC